TGATTTATTCCACAATTTCATAATGATTTCTTAAAATGTAGATCTTATAATTTCCACAACTGGTTCTGATATCTTTAATATTTGCTACTCTTCCAGCAACAGGTTTCCCTAATGTAAGGTTCATCCTACCTATGTTTCAGAAATTTAGATGGGGCAGACTCCAAAAAACAAGAAAGAATGAAAGTTCTTTCCAAGCAGATTTCTTTATTGTTCCCCATCTATATAGAGAGTCCTATCAAACTAAAGTGAACTATCACCCTATAAAGCATATATTCTGGGAATTATTAGGGAGGAGCCATCTTCACTCTCATCCTTTCACACAAACTATGTGAACTAAATTGTCTCTTGCTCCTCTGGAATGCATTCTTTCCTTCATGGGAATCTGGTCTACATTTCCTCATAGATGTATTGAGATTCTAACGGAACATGCGGATTGATTCTGTTTCTAATTTTTTGACATAGCTTTGAAATTTAATGATTAAGAGCAAAGACATGACCTATAACATTATATCTTTGCACGTATGATTGCTTAACACTGAGATGATTTCTGCAGCAATCAAACTAAGAATAGCTTGACTATATTGTCTGGCCATGAACATTGTTAAGAAGCTTTGTGCTACAAACCAAACATTATTTTCATTATTATGTTATGTAATAATATACTATGCTATGTTATGTTCTTTGTCTTCCCCTTCCCACATGACTTACTGGAGATGAGAACTTGTTATTGAAATAGTAAATGTCTGTTAAACTATCTACAGTAAGCACAGAATTATAATTAACATGTGTCAGCTCTGCATATTTCCATTTGTTAATTAGAACTTACTTAATTCAAAGATTAAAAATCACATACAACAATTATTTCAGTTTAGCAAGTGTTTTACTGACAGCTTGAAAATTGTCAGTAATAACACTGTTAAAAATAGTGACACAGCAGTGGTATTAAACTTGTCTGAAAGAATGTTAAACTCTTAAGTACTTGCATGATATTTGACTACCACTGTGCTTTAAACAACTATATCATTAATTTCTTAATGGAATATAATTTTGAATTGGAGATATGTGATTAACATTCATCAACCTATGAGGCTTCAAAGCTGGTTTTCAACATCATCTTTTCGAGCAAGGCACATTCACTAAAGATAATTTCCTCTTTCTCCTTTTCAAGTCTTTAATTAGCTCGTGTTACTTCCATTGGTTTTCTTTTGTTGCTATTTAAATTATTTTAAGAATTATTATGACATTTACTATAACATTTATTTGTTCTATAGTTTTAATCTTTGATCTTTAAACAACATAGAGAGTTTTGATTATACAAATTGAAAAAAACAGAGCTATAAGCCTATTGGGGAAAGTGATCGTAAGTAACATACTTGGTGAAAGGTTTCTTACATATTTATAGATTAGGAAACAAATGGTGCGATCTTCAAGCAAATGAATGTTTGAATTAGCAGTAATGGAATAACCACAAGGTTTCAGCTATAGAAGGGAATTCACACTGTAGAATAAGGCAAAAATCATTTATGACTGAGTGAATCGATAACTGAGCATAAAATACTAAGGAAGAGACATTGTGTTTGTCTCTTGAGAAAAACCAACAACTTTTAAACAGATCAGAGTTTGACCTGCGAATGCATAAGCATTAGTACATTTATTAATCTCTAAAGTGCCATAAGTTTCATCACTCTTTTTCTCCTACTTCACAGCTATGTGCATAAAACAAAACAAAAAAGGATATATATATTTCCCTAAACTAATTAGAAAGAAAGTTAGATGAACATATGATGAATAAAATCACTTATTTACTTTACTTGCTTTGATCTATGGGGCTGGCTGTTTCCATGAGGCAGGAGGTCTCCCCAGAAAAATAAGTTACTAATAACATGAATTACTAAATCAGCCTCAGTAAGAATAATCAATCTAGCTCTAATTACCCTTAATATAAATGTTTGTTTAGATAGTGAAATATCAATCAGTTATTAAAGAGGAAAAAGCTAGAAACACCATCTGAATATGTTTTGATTTATAAAGGTGGGAAGATTTTGCTATTGTGAACTTACACCACAGTTTTGTACCAAGTCTTTAATCTGTTTTAACCTCCTGCTGTGGCAATGTATTTTTAAACTAATCCAGCTGCTTTATGTTTCTCTTGGGTTGCACTTTTAGCGACTGAATTTCTGTATTCTATTTGTTTTTAGCTCCTTATTTTTATTTTATTGTTGTGCCACCAGGATGAGACAAAGCATAGAACAGACCTTTTATAAATAAAATAAAATGAAGTAATCAAGCAGTTGGAAGAATTAGATTTCCCTTGGTTCTTTCTATTAATATACTTGAAGTTAGAACCGACTCAATATCGCTATTACCGGTAACTATTCAACTAGGTTCTAGGAATTTTAAAACAAAATCCATTGAGTCTCAAAATCTTTGCATGCTTACAAGTTACAACCATCTTAGCTGTATTGCTAACAACCACTGGCATGAGCCTAAAGATTCCCTACAATTGTATTCAAAACTAGCTGTACCGAGCCACACATTGCTATGGCTCAGTCTGGTTAAATGGAAAAGAAAGAAAAGAGAAAGCACACGTTTGTAATATGTTTAATTTCACAATGCTTGTGGGTATACAATATTTTTTGTTGTTCCATTGTCTGTGCAGATATAGAGATTGTCTAAAATCGTAGCATGTGTTGCTTTTATGTCCAACAGATGGCGTTGTTTTTCAAAAAAGCATGTTTTTACCTGTCACAGGTGTGACATCTATATAATATAGGTATATAGAAACATGCGTGTATTCGAATGCAATGTTGTGTCAAAATTTCAAAGCAATCGGTGAAGAACTTTCAGAGATTTAAGATTTTGAACAAATGAACATTTACATTTTTATTTATATAGATGTCCAGTAGTTTTTTAAAGTTATGTAATAATTTTAAGTGGAGATAAATCAATGCCATTCAGGTTAGATTTTATCTTTAAAAGGAATTCTGCAATGTCTGAGACAAATTTCTGGCTGTTGCCTCTCTGTAGAACAGACAATTTGCCATGCAAAGCAGCAAAATATAACAAAAAGTCAGTGCCAGGAGTTTAAAACATAGAATTGTATAAATATTATTCTAATTCATAACATGCATAAGGGAATTAAAATCAATAAATCATAAGCAGGTGGCTGAAAAATATCCCTTCATTTCTTGGGATGAATTTCCATCAGTAAGTGGCTATCAAAGAGGAAATCCTCTTCTCAGATACTTTCTTAATTCCTGATAGCATGAGAAAAGAAATTATGAAAGATGATTGGTTATGTTGTTATATAAGAAGCTTATTCTACATAGGAAAAGCTTAAGTTATTTGGATTTCAAGCCACGATAAGCTTAAAAGATAAAAAGCAATTTATTATATTGGACAATTCTTAACAAGGTATCTATGGAGTTTCTCAGAGATCCAGGTCATGGTTGTCCCAAAGGTGCTTTTTCAAAAGGCAACTGAACTTGTTTTTTCCTTAAAAACATTTCACTTCTCATCCAAGAAGCTTCTTCAGTTTTGATTAAAGAATTTTTTCAGAACTGAAGAAGCTTCTCGGATGAGAAGCAAAACATTTTCAAAGAAAAACAAGTCCAGTTGCCTTTTGAAAAAGTACCTTTGGGTTTTAACAAGATAAATTCCCAGTGAACTGTCCCATTCAAAATGCTAGATATTGTTTTTTTCTATTAGTTGTAGTTTTTCAAATCATCCTCAAAGACAACCTATTTTACAGCAATCTATATATAGAATATTTAGAGTTAGAACATGTATACCAATAGCATGGTTGCTGCTAGTATAACAATGTCAGGTAAATGAAATTAGTAGATCTAGGAAGAGTTACCTTTGCCTCTGGCAAGCAAATTTATTTTCTTTACTTATTTATTTTTCACATTTTTGAACCACCTATCTGCCTCAGCTGCATCAAGAATTTTTTTCAGAAATAGTAAAACTTCATTAAAAACTGCTTGGAATTTTTTCCTTGCCTTTTTTGATTTAAAGAAAAATCTATTCGTGGTACTTCTACTTTTTCAGGCTTCATTTTCAGTTTTGATCCTAATTCTAGTTATAAGAGAACCAAAATGCCTCAGTGCTTCTGCTTTGACTGATTTAGATGATATGTAGAAATAAAGTTGAATAATTTCAGGAGCATGGATATCCAACCTCAAATTTCACTAAGCTAGACAAATACGTGGCTCTTTCCTCTGAATGGCAATGAAATGTTCTCAGGATTTTATATTATTGATCTGAATCACTAAAAATGCTAATAGTTATGAAATAAATGCATTGTTATGGTTTCAGGGCTACCTTCCAATATCTGTTTCAAGAAAACATCTTCTCTATTTATACTCTTTCCTGAATTTGCATCACCATCTAATTGTCAAAAGCAAATATCACTTTACAGAACAAATTTAGAAGTTCAATTTTTTTTAACAGATTCTGCTTTGCACTAATGCTGGCAGGCTTCAAAATGATTAGTTTAACAGCAAGCAGACCTGATCTGAATACCTGCTGAGCATAAGCTTAACTTTAAATGTTCTGAATTTCAAATATGGTGTATATTGGAAATACTGGATCACAACCATGATTATAATTTATTGGACAGAAAATGCATTCCTAAGCAGAATAAATGGGGGGGGGGGAAGACATACGAAATAATAAATATACACTATTTTGGATTTTCTTGTAAAATAAATATAACTGGCAAAAAGATTCCACCATTCTGCACAAATTAAGTATACATCCATCATCTTTACCATTTCCAGGATTAAATGCAATAATAGATGGAGGGTTGAAAATCATTGCTAAAGCAGGCAGGGATTCTTCAACACTCTGAAAATCACTTCTGTTACTATTATTAATGATTTCAGTACATAGCATTTATAGATCATAATCATAATTGTTTCTATTAAACTTTTTCCATCATTATATGTCACAATAAAAAGTATTAAAAACAAAAGAAAATTTGGTCTCTGTGTTATTACCATGCGTGATTCCAGGACAACTTCATTCTGAAAACTCTGTAAAATTAATCTCATGGGAAACTTGGTCAGGCATGGACTGATGGTTACAGAACATCACACTCCTTCTTCTTAATCAATGTCATCCATGCAACATGATGCCTTTCTTTACTGTTTATCTCAACCAACTGCAAATTGTTGCCCCCCCTTTTACCTTTTTGTTGTCTACTCAAGGTGCAGTCTGATCTATATGAAGTAAATTAATTAGTTATCTATTAGAAAAAAACATTCTGAGAGGGCATAAGGCAAATTTTTTAAACTACCGTATTTTTCCATGTATAAGACACAACCTTGTATAAGATGCTCTGGCATGCGAGTTCCAAGCTCGCATGCCAGAGCATCTTATACAGCAAACAAAGTCAGCGCTGTGAGCAACCATCTCCCAGCACTCTAAATAGATGCCTCCCAGCTGGCCCCACACCCCACGCACCTAACCAGCATCTGGCACTATGAGCATGCATAGTCAGTTCACAGCAGCAGCCTTCTGACCCTGATAAACAAACCAGCACGATCACTGGCATGACAGCAAGGCAAGGGAAGCAAAGGCAGGTTCTAAACTCCCTGTTTCTCTGCACTGGTCAGCTGTTTGGCAGAGCACCGAACAACTGAGCCGGCAAATCCGGAAGTTTGGCCGGCCGCTATTATCGAGCAGGACTGCCTCACAGCTGTGTTCCATAGGGTCTCCAGCCAGCATACCGGTATGAGGGAAGGAAAGGGCCGTCACTGCCATCCATGCTGCTGGTCCCATCCGCTGCTTCTGGATGCCACCATCTGACAATCTTGCCTTCTCTCCCTCCTGTTAATGGCAAGCCCACAGGGGCTTGACATCTGCACCAGGTAGCATGGCAACGGCATGTAAAGAACCCACACAGGCATGCCCTGGGTTGCAGAGGTTACCATTATTTTTTCATGTCTAAGATGCTGCACTTGTATAAGACACATCTGATTTTTGAACAGGGTGTTTGCAGGAAAAAAATATCATCTTATACACAGAAAAATACAATATATGTTAGGATTTTTCTATTCTCACGGTGTCTATTACATGGAGATAGGCATTGGTTTTGGACAAAGTCTGAATATTGAACTAAAGCAGGTCTACATTGGAGGTCTTCAAAGCACAGTAAATCTGATTTGAATGCTATTATATTTTCAAAGTAGTTTAAACAAAGCTGGATTAATATTTAATCCCTTTGTATATAACCTGACCTTAACAAGAGAAATCTCAGGAAGAAGGAAGAGAAAGTTGTAATTATGTCATAGTCAGGGAATACTCTCCAATTCTCTACATCTATTCACAGGTCTTTTTGGGGGGGTATACAAAAGAACCTCACCAGTAGTTATTTCAATATTTTCAGTTCTCTTTTTGTCCATGTGTGTGGCCCTAATTTTGAAAGCAGAAACGCCAAAGGCCAGAGCTTTCAAGAACCCTATCAGAACCCCCTTTTTGTTGACATTTAGATGTTGACATTTAGACAAGATTTTAGTATGAAGAATTGAACCAGCCCTCTGTCTAGCTTTTATGCTGAGGTTTCAAAAATAAATTAATAAAAAATAAATTAATCCAAGATTTGTTTTTAAAACTTTGTTAGCTTCCTTGGCAATCCCCTGATGGGAGCATATAGAAACAGAGGAAAAATAAGGTAAGATATTCTTAATAAGTGAGTAAATTATAAGCATTTAAGATAGAAAATCTATTCCAATCACCCAACCCCTATAATATGTAGCTATAAAGTGATGTTTGGTATTCAACTGAGTATAACTGTAGTAATAGTCAGTTTCCTATAGAAAATTATAGTTATCCTTGAACATTTCCCAAAATTCACTGCAACATGTATATGTTATTTGGTTCCCTGAAAAATACTTAAACCAAAGTGATATAAAGAAGCTGACTTCTTCAAATGAAGAAGTCTATTCTGTCTAGCTATAGAAAATGGTCTTTTAGATACATTTTTTTTCTATGACAAAGAATCTTCACTTTTTCTACCTTATTGTCAGGATTTTGTAAATATTTTGTAGTGGTGTTTTGAGTTGACATTACGATCATGTTGGTAAGCTATGCATAGTTGTTCCTAAGTGCTCCTAGATTTTTTGTTTCATCCTCTTTTTATGTAGTTATTGTTCCTTTTATTTCATTTTCTAATTCCTTCTGACATGGATAGACCATACAGATCCATTTTTAATAGTGAACATTTTTAACCACCACAAATAGTTTCAGTTTCTGGATCAAATACCCACTTGCCATTGCAGGGCACATATATCAACAAAAATGACAGCCAAACTAGTACAAGGAATATAAAGAGAAAAATATTAAAAAACCAAGAACATGCCTAAGAAAAAATGCAAGAAATATTTGGAGACATAGAAAGGTGGTAAATTTTATATATTCACAATACGCTAAATGAGCTTAGTATATTCGTGAAGAATACCATTCCAGATGTTGGGAGCCAACACCAGAATAAGCAAATCAGCTTGTATTGCATTCATCTTGGCCTCTGGATACAATCCTTTTACAAAATGAAGGTGCAGCTTCTGATTTTTTTTTTAAAAAAAGTTCCTTAACATGAACTGTAGTTGCTCCAAAGATGCAACTCTGCTTGTAAAAGAATCCAAAACTGTTTATTTTATCAAAATAAAACCTTTATGTGATTTAATTTGCTCTATCTCCTGATCTGTGATTTTTTAAGACAATGTTATTGACAGATGCTGAGCTTTTAAAAAAAGAAAAACAAAACAAAACTCCAGAATTGTTGCTTGGTAATAAGACTTTCTTCTGCTGTTGGGTGACAGGAAATTAAAGGAATACAGCCATTTATATGGCTGGGGAGCTTTGTAATACAAAGACATTATTTCCAAGTCAGAATAACTACATAGAGGGAGGGAGGGAGGGAGGGAGGGAAGGAAGGAGGGAGGGAAGGGAGGGAGGAAGGGAGGGAGGGAGGGAAGGAAGGAAGGAAGGAAGGAAGGAGGGAGGGGAGGGAGGGAGGGAGGGAGGGAGGGAGGGAAGGAGGGAGGGAGGGAGGGAGGGAGGGAGGGAGGGAGGGAGGGAGGGAGGGAGAAATATTCATAATAGCATTTCAAAACTATATATGCATATGTTGCAAAACAGATATTTAATACTAACTTACACATTAATAGTTGCACTTTCCTAAACAACCTTTCATTCTAAGAATATCCAGTCCAAAATTAGGATAATGACAAGCAGCTAAAATATAGTCATATAGGTACTGAATTTAAAAAATAGCACAGTTAAACACTCTTTTAATTTACTTTCAGAGTAATGGATGTGTGGGCTCAATATTATAACATTACATTACATAAAAATTCTTCCCGAGAAGCAATTATATAAAAGTCTTTTACCCTGGTTTTAGAGGAAATCAAGAGACATTTGAGTCATGAAAAGTTTTCTCCACTGGATGTTGCTTTAGTCCTGCCTTCTGATTGGAAGAAGTGTAGTTTCAGGTTAGGCTCATTTTCTTCTGACCAGAATAAACACCTCAAAGTAAGTCCAATTACACTTTCCAAAAATTCACTTGTCCTAATCCTTTCGAACACATTTATCCGAAGTGTTACAGGTTACAGGAGAAATCAATAAAAAAAAAAATTCCTTATCTGCTTTTGGATATTGTCTGCTTTGCACAAATAACTCTAAATAATAATAATAATAAAAACTTAGGAAGCAAGATCCAGTTTTAAAAACAGAGCTTAACTATTTTTGATATTTAATGTTAATTTGAAGGACAAAGATGTTCAAAAGGATATGGATAAAACATTTCCAAGATTGCTAGAAAGCTTGCCTAGTTCATTTATTTGCTTTGATGGAACACAACAGCTAAGGCTGACTAGCCCAGTAGGATACTTTAGAAACTCTATGCATAACAAAAAATGTTACTTAAAAATCTTAGTGAGATGCAGCTTGATATGGATAAATAAAAGTCATGCCTTAATTATTTATCTTTCACAGAGATATTCCCAGAAAGGAATCAAATTACAGTTTTTTAAAGTGTTTTCTAGAAAGAAAGATTTCAGAAGAAAAAAAGAGTACTTAAAAAAAGAAAGATAAACTTATGTTGGCATCATACTGTCAATGTAGATAAACATATGGCTGAACATTAACAGATCCCAGCAATAGGAAGAAGATACTAGTGTTTGCTTGGTAAAACAGACATGGGTCCTTTCCTAGTGCTTTTTTTTTCCTTGTCACATTCAAATGCACAGTTAGTGCACCCCTAATTTGCCTATCTTTAAGAGATCTTTAAAAATGTTTCCCAAGCCTTGAATAGCAGACCCTTGTGAGTTGGAGATGATGTAGCTGGCAGTTATGCAGCCCTTAATGTGTTTCCTTTAATGTATGAAACTAATGTATGAGACTAAATGAATGGTTGCCAGTTGAGGATTATCTGTATGGAAGAACACCCTGCTATATTTTCCCCAAAAATCTTTATTGGACTTGCTAGCTTAGCAACCAATCCCTCACTAAGATCCAAAATCGGCCAAGGTGAGCTGGAGATTAAATCAGCTCTGGTGACATTCAAGATGTCAATGACATCCATCCACAAATTGCAAACATGCTGTCAATTCTCAAATGGAGATTTATTTTTCTCTGTCTTTGATCAACTCAGTTGTTGCATAGAAAGATGCAGGATGGATAAAGCAATTGAGAAACATCAATTTTGGTGGCAGGGGAGGTTGGACTAGATGACCTACAACAGTGGTTCTCAACCTTCTTAATGCCGCAACCCTTTAATACAGTTCCCCAACCATAAAATTATTTTCATTGCTACTTCATAACTGTAATTTTGCTATTGTTATGAATCATAATGTAAATATCTGATATGCAGGATGTATTTTCATTGTTACAAATTGAACATAATTAAACCATAGTGATTAATCACAAAAACAATATGTAATTATATATTGTGAAATATTTATTTCTAATTACAAATAAATGAAATTTTGGCATTGCAGTCCAAGGACTTCAAGTCAGATTCCCTCTTCTTTTAAATATTCAAATGCATTGTGCAAAAAAATAATGGTAATCCTGTGAATTATGTTGAATTTTTATCATTTTTGATGTTGACATTTGATTGGAATTGCAAATTAATGGTGGAGAATT